GCGACCAGAGCCCATTCACGAAGCATCGGGTTGTTTGGATCGATGTTGCAGCTGTACGTTGACAACGTTATCGGAGATCCGAGTGGACGACGGCCTACCTGTTGAGGAGGATTTCGAGGCCGCCGCACGCCCGCAACGCCTCCTGGACCGACGTGCTGCGATGTGCCATGTTTCCGAGCACTCGAACACCGGCCGAACGGTACCCAAAGGCTTCGTCCTCGTCGACGGGCTCGCTGGACAGAGCGGCGGCGTTGGTTTCCCGCGTGTGGGTGGTCGTGAATCGCCGGAGTTGGCCGACCAGCGCCGCGATGAACGGGAGAACCTTGGCGTCGTCCAACGTCGCTGGCGTTGACGTAAGCGTGCCGAGGATGTGGAACATTCGTTTGGACGATTCGATCTCCATCACATCCCACATGGCTTGTCGATCGCTGGAAGGCGCGGCGTCTTCGTCGGGTTCGGAGGTCACAGGCGGCGCATGCAGGGCGGTGAACTCGGTGCAAAAGAACTCGACCAACGCTGCGTCCGGGCCATGATCGGTGGTCGCTGGCGACGATGGCTCGGCAACCACCATGTCGACCATCCGCAGCAGCAGCATTTGCTCGGGAGTTAGCTTGGCCCAGAGCGTGCTACGACATGCCAACACAAATACTGGGCGCAATCATGCATCGCGATGCCAGGTGTACCTAACGAGCGACGCGTTGAGGTTGCGGTACAAGTCGGGCGTGTGGTGGCGCGCAATGAGCACGCGAAACAAGATGGAGATCCACTCGAACGCCGGGTCCGACTCGTCGGCGCTTTGAAAGGACAAGCACCGTTGCAGTAGCAGAATCACGACTTGACGCGACGCGACCTGCGTACCAACCCACGTTAGCGTTTGTTTGGTGTTTTGGGACACACGAGCTCCATCGCGCGGCCAGCGTGCGCTGGGTGCAAGCAGTTCACTGTCGCGGCGGCGGCATACGCCAGGATCTTGCGGTGCGGCTGGCATTCGACGAGCACTTTCTACGACCCACGTGCGTCATGCGGTTCCCCAGCAATTCCGACAAACCTCGAGCAGTGCCGGGTGAAGCAGGGGCCATACGACGTCTTGGTTGGAAGGATGAGTGACCGTCATGTTGCCGACAAATTGAAGCATGACTTGAATGCACAGCACGATCGCAGCATGCAAAG